TTACCAATTTGGAAAGCTAAGGTATCCTTGCTGCTTTTTATTTTCAAAATCAGATCCCAGTTGAATGGAGAAAGCAATTCGATGTGGGCAGGGAAGCAGTTCCAAAACCATGAACTGATGCCTTCCCGCAGAGTTCCTCCTGGAAACTATGGATTAGGTCACAAATAAGATTATGTTCATCATCAACTCACACAGGCTTGCAGTGATTAAAGTTAAAGGAGTCCAGAAACTGTTAAAGTTGACAGGACAGAGTTGGATTGAAATTTCTAACCTTTCCCAAAGGGCCCAGCAACCTCTTCCAAATCACAGCTGAAACCAAGTTGAAGGGACATTTGCTTCTCCAGAAAGTGTTTGGCACTGACCAGGAGAATGACGGATTAGTACAGATAAATATTGTTGTGGGCAGAGGCAAAGAGGAAAAGAGGCTCAAGAAAATTAGAATCCTCTGCTTCAAACTTTTGTAACTCAATAAATGTCATCAGTGGGGCTGGAAGGGGTGAGGGAATGGGGGTGGGGGAATGAAGGAAAATAAACAGGGAAATTATTTAAAAGTCCAGAAGCTGACACAACCTCCATGAACAAAGCATGAGACAAAAATGCAGACATTCTCTCTCTGTGAAGTGATTTAACATGGAATTGTATGCAGAAGATGTAAATCCATTCCGCTTGGAATGTGGTAACAAACACTACATGTTAAACTGAAATGTCCAACCTCATATTGAAGAATCCATTTCTACTCCTTAATGAATGAGTAGGATGATGTGATGAGGAGGTAGGTCACATTTTCCTCAGGTTCCTGAATCTCTTTTCAAGCAAACTGAACCACACACAGAAGCTAATTCACTTGAGATTCAATAGGATCCAGGGTTAAAAGGTCAGATAACAGAATTACAACAATAAGTAGCCAAGTGGCATTTTTCAACTCTTAAGAAAATTAAAAGTTTGAAGATTTTCTTTCAAAAGCAACTACCGCTGTTGTTCACAAGAACACAAACAACAAAAGCAATAACAGAGGTGTTAGCAATAATAGGAGGGATAGTGGTAATGGTTCCAGAGGTAACAGTCATTAAGAATTTTTCCTGGGAAGAGCAGAGATAAAGTACAGGGGTAGATGCCTTGCACATGGCTCATTCGGCCATGTGCTTTATTTGCCTTACCACCACAGCGTATGCCCCAAAAATAAACCAAGAACTGCTTTAAAATAATTTTTCTTGGTAAAATTGGGGCTATAAATCACTGAATGGGTTGAAGATGTGGCTCAGTTGGTAAAATGCATGTGGTGGGTTCAATCCCCTACACACAGTTATTAAAGGTAATAGTAGTAATCATGACTTAGATACCACTTCCTAAGTACTGGGTACCACTGTGAGCCCTTGAAAGATCTTATTTCGTCCTCACAGAACTCTTGTGCAGTAGGCGAGCTCTTACTAGTTTCCCAATTTTGCAGGTCCTGGCGGTAATATCTCCTTGCTACCTAGAGCTGTCCTTCTAAGAAAAGACTTTAAGAAAAAGGAGAGGAAATGGAGCCTGCAAGGTCCGGGACTGGAAGGCTGAGCTGGTTTCCCATCGGGCTGACCTCACACCCAATGGGCTGCCATCAGACCTCTGCAGGAAAGGGCGGTGGAAGGAAGTCGGCATCGAGCCAGCACTCAGGGAGGCGTTTGCTTGAGAAGGCGCCCCACACCTCCACTCTGAGCTCCCACCACATTAAAAAAAAATAAAAGTCTCTGCAAGTGTTCCTGATATGGCCTGACCTCCAGGAGAGCTTTCGCCTACAGAGGGGTACACAGGGCAGGAGAGCAGGGTGGAAGCGGGGTTCCCAGGCCACCGTTTCCTGCCCAGGAACACACACTCCCGCCCCCAGCAGCCAGGGCGTGGGCGAGAAATTCCTCACTGTCCGGTGACCTCCGGCGGCAATGAAGGGCCAGACCCTGGGGAAGACCTGCAAGATGACCATGTGGCTGAACCTGCAGCACTCCAGGGCACATTTTCCTGAAAGGTAAAGGTCCTAACTCTTCAAAACAGCTGAGGGTGTGCAGAAGAGAAGCAGGAGAACAGAACGAGGGAAATTTAATCACCCATGGAACAGAAATGGAAAACAAAGGCCCAACCCAGGAGGATACTGCCCGGGACAATGGGCCCCAGAGGAGAGGCAATTGATGGGCTCCTGAGAACAGGGACCACTCCACTGCACCATTGCCCACAGAATCCTGTCACCGCTCCGATTTCCAGAGGTTGGCAAAAGCGACATTTACATTTTAAGAGGAACCTCCGGGAAAGGGGGGTGGGGTGGGAAGAAGGGAGAGGAATGGAGGTGGGACACTACCAGGACCAAAAGACCTTTTGCTACAGCCCTGGAGGGGAGCTCTCCTTTCCGTGAAACCAAACCCCCACTTGAAAGGAGATAGGCCCCATTAATAATGCACCGCAGAGCCCCATGCCAACACCCTGCTTAGTCCCAAAGCCACACAGGCACGCACTGCCTCTCACTGCCTCCGTCTCAAGGTGGCTTGCGAAGGTTCCCAGCAAGAGTAGCACTGTAGCACTATCCTCCCCTAGTTCATCGATTTGCTCGAGCGGGCACCAGTAATGTCTCCATTGTGAGACTTCTTATTACTGTTTTTGGCATATCGAATACACCATGAGGAGCTTGCCAGGCTCTGCCATGTGGGCAAGATACTCTCGGTAGCTTGCTGGGCTCTCCAAGAGGGACAAGGAATCGAACCTGGGTCCGCAGGCCGCATGCAAGGCAAATGTCCTACCTGCTGTGCTATCGCTCCAGCAAGAGTAAGGGATCAAACTGTCTCCAGAAGAAGATTTCTAGTTTCTTAAGGAAGCTCCTATTTTGCTTCATACCCATGAGGCCAAGACAAAAGCGAGTGGTCTGGACAACAGCATTTCTCTACCTGCGACCACAAGGCCCATGTGGGTTCTTGCTCCATGGAGGCCATAGGTGAAAAATTACATTGTGGGAGGGTGAGGGGAACAAAACCACGTGGTCAATGTTAGGATGTGTGAGGGCAGGGGACTACAGGAAGGAAACAGGGTCTTAAGTGGAGGGAGGGGGGAGATAGTTTGAGAAGCTCTAGTCTAAAGCATTAATACTTAGCCTTGAATCCTGGCCACCCCTTTAAAGCAGACTGACCCTGGTCTGGAAAGACCCTTACACGCTGACGGAGGAGGACGCTGAAGTGCTACAGAATTCACCAAATGCACGTTTAAGAGGTCTGCATCTTACTGTCCCGAGATTACAGCATAGTGCATGTTTTCTTTCAAAGGTAAAGAATGCCCGTTTTCACACATGCTTGCACACCAAGCATGTACCTGTAAGAACTCTAAGCTACTTCTGCCCAGCTCTTCCCTTCTTTGCCATCACAAGCAGGAAAAAAAAAAAACCTCCAACACCAAGCTAAGCAGCGCTTACACATGTCTGCTGTGTGACCAGTGAGCGGGTCTGGCTGGCAGACAGCACCTGTCCTTATCCCTGTCATTCTAGCCACATGTAGAATAAACCCACACTGCATAAGAACCGGGGTCCTCTCCTTCAGCAAGACCCACCAAATTATAAGACCGCTGAGGGGTTTTTAGCAGTGAAACCACAAGTTTGTGCCTTTGTTCCCTCAACGCTGTTTTTATATAGACGTTTCTGAACCTCCAACACGCCTTTCTTTGCAGAAGGCACCGGCTAGGAAAGCCATCTAGCTAGGAGCAGTACAGAGAACGTTTTCCCCGGTTCGGCGGGTTACAATCACCCAGCATCTTCATGAGATACGAGGTGCCACAGGAACGAGTCACTAAGTAACAACCCTCGCAAGCATTCCCAGGCTTCCCCGGGATCGCTCCTGACTTAGCGGTATGCGGTTCCACCTTTGAACAGAGCACCTAGTTGCTGATCCCCTGGGGGGTGAGACGGTGGAATGCCGTGGTCCCGGCTAAGCTTCCAGAAAGGTCCACCAGGGAAACTGAAACGCACTGCAAGGAATATACGGGTGCACCTGACTCCCACTCCCCACCCCACCCCCCGCGCCCTCCAAGCGTCCTGAGCTCCGCTGCAGCCGACGTGTCCTCTGGAGTGCGCCGGAGCCACCTCGCTGCAGCGACCGATAGACATCGAGAATCAAGCTCCCCGAGAGAGCGCGTCCAGGACTGAGTGCGCCCGTGATTTCCCGGGCCTGCCACCGAGTCACTGAAGAAGTGCGATATGCCCAGCGGCCCCCCCTCCCCCGCCTTGGGCTGCGGCGAGGGGACCGGCGAGGGGCCTGGCAGCGTCTCTGCGGATGGCCGCGCCGCAGGTGGGTCTTGCAGGCTCCCTGGCCCGGTGCGCCACGCCAGCATCACACCTGACCCGGTGCCAGGAATGCAGCCAGGGGCTTCGTGGGTAGTCGCTTCCCGGGGGACGCTGCCAACTCCGCTCCCGAGAAGAACGGGGAGGGAGGAGGCAAGAGATAGAAATGCGGGAGCCTGCGGGAGCCGGAGCTGACCTTCCTCCCATCCCCTTCCTCCCGGCCGCCACCACAGCCCTAACAATCCCACCCGCATGCAATGCGCACCGGGACTCCGGGGACGCGCTGCGCTTCCTGCGCCTTTGCAGCGCTTCTGCTGGCACTGCGCTTGGCTCGGGCAGCGCCTGGCAGCGGCTCGGGCTGAGATTTGCGCGGCAGGCGTGCAGAAGGGATGGAGGCGCAAGGACCCGCTTCCTCGCTCCATGCGCACAGCCAGACTGCAGTGGCCCCCCGTTTAGCGCCCATCCTCGCCTGGGACACCGGGGACAAAGCGCCAAGGGTCGCCCGAGACCCGAGAGGGTTCGCCCGAGGCCCGAGAGAGGGTATCTCCGAGCCCCGAGGGGAAAAACCAAAAATGTGATCGGGGAAGGATGGAAGGAGATGGAGGGGAGGGCATAGGGGGGTGGAGGCGACGCTGAACCTGTCGCCCCGGTGGACACGGGTCTAAGGCTCCGGACACCCCCGGGCCAGGCCGCCTGCCCACCCGCGGGCACCTACCTCGATCCACTTCTGCGCCTCGGAAAAGGCGGGTTCGGGGGGCGGCTCGGGCTGCAGGGGCTGGAGCGCTTCCAGACCGAGAGCGGGACAAGCCATTTGCGAAGCCCCGCGTCCACTCGAGCGCTGGGCCGCCGGGATGAGCTCTGCCGCCGCCGCCGCCGCCACCGCGGGAGCGCGCTGCCCGCCCCTTCCCGCCCGCCGCGCCGCCCCGGCCCGCCCCGCGCGGCCGCCCGCCCCGCCCCGGCCCGCCCCGCCCCGCAGCCGCGGCTCCCCGGGGAGCGGCGCGCGCGCTGCAGGACGACGCCGCGGGGCCGACCACGCGGAGTCCCGGCGGGAGCGAGCGCACGGGCGCGGGGAGCGCCGCGACTCCCCACCTTCTCGGGCCGCTCCGCCCCCTGCCCGGTGCGTCACGCACCGGGCCGCTGCTCCCGGCTACAAATAACCCGCAGTGCGCGAGCGGCGGCTCCTGCGCAGGCCCGCGGCCAGGACGGGGACTCGGCGGCCACCGCGCACGTCCCCGCGTCCGGCCGACTCCGGCCGCACGGGGGTGACGCGCCGCCCCGGGCACGCAGCACCTGCTGGACCTCGGACCTGAGCTGCAGCCCCTGCACCAGAGTCTGGGAGTGCTCGGTCACCCGATCTGTGGCTGAGAAAGGAAGAAATACGACCTGTAATAAGCCCTTGGCGCGGCTGCCAGGCTACCTGCGTCTCCGAGTCGCTCCGTTCGGCCCAGATTTATTGTTCAGTGACATTTGTGCTTGCAACTCCTGCTCTGGCCTCGGGGTGCCGGAGATGCAAAAACAATTAAAGATCAAAAAGGAAAACTCGAAGCCCTGGCTTCAAGGTTATTACGTTTCTGGGGGAAATGGGATGGCTGTTGGGGACCTATGACAATAAACATGATTGGTGATGTTTTATTTTTATGGGGGGGGAGGGGAGACACGCAGTGTTGCTCAGGGGACCACGTGCTATGCCCTGTACAAGACAAGCGCCTTCTCCCTTAGTCTACCATCTCTCCGCGACACTGGCTTCATCCCGGGCACCGCATTAGAAAGAAAATGTGGAGTGTCCTACGATGCGTGAAAGAGAGGAGAAACGGGCATCTGGGAAGGGAAAGTTGCTCTGCGTGGCAACTCCACTCTCCTAGGGATAGGGGCCTGGTGGCTAGAAGACCTGCAGGAGAGAGACTTGCCGGCATCGGATGTTTATGCTGGAGAATTGCAGCACAGGCTGGTTGCTGGTCCCAGGCTGAGGCTGTCTGTGGTCACTCTGATTCCCTGAAGATTTTCTGTCCTCTCTCCCTGCACCACTTCCTCAGAAGCTTGTGCTTCCTCTCCCTGGCCTGGCTTCCCCAACCTGCCCACTTCCTCCTGGGTGGTCTCTTCATAAACTGGCCACAATGTAAGACTCCGGGTGGACCATCAGGGAAGTCTCTGACAAGACCATCAAGAAAGTCTCTGAAGCCCTGAGATGCGAGTTACACAATCGTCTGCAGAAATTTTCTGGGACAGTGCAAATGCCTTGATTAGGAGGTAAGAACTGAAAAATGTTTTGGCTGGAATGCCAATGTCCCTGTATCATGGTGATAGGATAGGTGATATTGGAACTTTAGTATCACAAATATGTTAGTGACAGATTCCATCTTTAACCATGTGCCCATCATACAAGCTACCCATGTAATGCTGCGTGCAGTGTTACAACCCACAGAAGGCCACACAAGAAAAGAAATAACCAGGTAGGAAGAGAGGGACAGGTCAGACCTGGAATTGTGGGGGATAACAGACTGTGGTAGGAATTTGCTATATGGGTGACCTTGGCATGGGAGACTTGGTAACTTTGTGTGCTGGCAATATTCCAGAGCACTTAAATTAAGTAAATGCATGCACGTCTTAAACGGGTTGCCAGCCAGCGGGTGGGACAGAGCCCAGAATTTCTGGGTACCTGAGCAATGAGTCTGTTTCTTGTTCAGAGGCCAGGCTCTGCCTTTTCCAGTTCTGCTGCTTTGAAAGAGTGGTGATGTGAGAGGGTTGGCAGGGGGCGGTGTTTGCTGTGACTCTAAAGGCAGGTCTGAAATGTCACCATCACGCACTTTGGAGTCAGACAGTCTTTCGTTTATTTACTCTTAAAACACTTGCAGGAGACTTCCATTGTACCAGGTACAGATCTAAGTGCATTCCAAATAATTGACTAGGTCATGCTTCGTCCAACTCTGAGACATGGGCTATTTTCATCCCTTAAAGGAAACCAGGAGAGGGAGAAGGATGTCACACAGCCGGACACAGGGAAATGCAGACAGTCTGGCACCAGACCCACTCTCAGCTGCCCATTACACTGCCTGGACTACCCTGGTCCCCCGACTCTGCCACTTAGGACTTGTGCCTCGGTTTCCTCATCTCAGAGAGACTGAAGTGGCTGCTCTGGGCTGACTCATTGTGAGGAACAGAGAGGGTGTCTGAAGGGGAGGGGACTCATGGTGGGCCTGACAGGAGAGCGTGGTGCCTTTCACCTCTTCCCGGAAAGGGCAGGCAGGGGATGAGGCAAGCAGAGGGACAAGGCTAATAAAGCCCGGTCAGCAAATGACCTGGTCTGCAAGAGGAAACCTGACTAAGTAAATGATTCACAAACCGACTCCGACACCTAACACAAGATGCTAGTAACCAGGAGCAGGGGGCTCGGTAACCTAAATGAAGTCTCTGAACCCAGGATCAAGCCCCCCATACCTCTCAAATTTTCACTGTTGATCATGGCATTGAAACGAAAACACATGCACAGCGGTAGGGCGTTTGCCTTGCACGCAGCCAACATGGCCGACCCGAGTTCGATTTCTCCGCCCCTCTCGGAGAGCCCGGCAAGCTACCGAGAGTATCTCGCCCGCACGGCAGAGCCTGGCAAGCTCCCCGTGACGTATTCGATATGCCAGACACAGTAACAACAAAGTCTCCAATGGAGACGTTACTGGGCCCACTCGAGCAAATCGACGAACAACGGGAGGGCCTTTACCTTTACCTTACCTTAATTTCCATGTAAATGCTTTTCTTGTCTCTTAGGGTTTGTAATCCCCCCAAACTACCTGCTTCTCCTGAATTCTATTACCTGTAACAGATCTGGATACATGATGGACAACCTACAGACTTCTAACCATGGTAGAGTACAAACCTGATGCCATGGCAATCTATAAATCTATAGATTTACAAATCCGTAAAAAGAGACAGGGTTTGCCTATTAAGAGCTTGTCATTTTGTTGGCGAAGGAATGTTTCCATTTCTGCACAATGCAACATTCAAATATAAAAGCTAATGTGTCCATTGGGAAAAAAGATAAAATATAGAGTAAAGAAAATAAATCCAACTGTAATTGGAAAAAAAATGGGTAGACGAAGTATTCTATTATCACAATCATCCTGTTGTTCGTCGATTTCCTCGAGCAGGCACCAGTAACGTCTGCTTCCTAGCCCTGAGATTTTAAAAGAGCCATTTCAATGCTCTTTCAGGATTAGGAGAATGAGACCCATCATTGTTACTGGTATTTGGCATATTGAATACGACACGGGAAGTCTGCCAGACTCTGCCGTGCGGGCAGGATACTTTTGGTAGCCTGCCAGGTTCTCCAAAGGAAAAAATAAGATGTTGCGCTGCCACGAATGTGGCCGCACACTTCCGGGAGCTGGGTTTTATAGTCTCTGCATCTTGACCATTGATGGGACCAACCTGGCGCTGGTGGCAGCTGGTGGGTGTGACGCCTACCCACTGGAAGATGGGGGGGGTGGGGTGTCTGTGTGGAGAAGGCCCAGTCCTAATCCGAGTAGGCTTGGAGACCTCAGCCCCGGGACCCGCATGCCTGGGTTTCTCTGCCAGTTCTTTCATGCATGAGGCCCGTCCGGATGTGGAGAGTGGTCCCAGCATGGCCGTGGCTGGCTCCGGAGGTCCTCAGCTGCTGGGGCTCTACTCGGGGCAGGGATGGGGGGAAGAGAAACTCAACCCTCCCCCCTCCAAGGGGCCCCAGTGAGGACAGCCAGGCACGGTGGCAGAAGACTCTCTTCTATCATAGTGTATGCAAAAGTCGATTCCTACTTAGTTATTATTTGGGGAGGGGATTTTTTTGGGGGGGTCACTCCCAGCAATGCTCAGAGGTTATCCTGGCTCTGTACTCAGGAATTACTCCTGGCAGTGCTTGGGGGACCATATGGAATGCCGGGAATCAAACCTGGGTCGGCTGTGTGCAAGGTAAATGCCCTACCCTCCGTACTAATTCTCGGACCCTAGGGAGGAGATTTAAAGGACCACACCTGGCAGTGCTCAGGACTTATTCCTGACTTCAGACTCAGTCATTGTAGGGTTCAGGAGACCATACAGGGTTCTGGGAATCGAACCTGGATCAACCAGGTATGAGGCAAATTCCCTACCCCCGTACTATCAAACCTCTATTCTTTTTTTTTTAACTAAAATTAGTTTAATAATCTACAAATGATGCTGAATGAAAACTATTTAACATTAGAGTTTGAGTTTCAGTCATACAACGATCAAAAACCCATCCTCCAGCAGTGTACACTTTCCACCACCAATATCCCCAGTATTTCTTTCCACCCCATCCCACACCTCTTCCTACCTCTATGGCAGGCATTTTTCTTTTTACTCTCTCTCTATTTGGGGGCTGTATGGTTTGCAATAGAGATAATGAGAGTTCATCATATTTTGTCCTTTACTTTCAACACATATCTCCCATCCCAACCGATTCCTCCAGCCATCAATTTCTTAGTAATCCCTTCTCTATCCCAGCTGCCTTCTCCCCCAGTTCATAAAGCAGGCTTACAACCATGGAGCAATTTTCCTGACCCTTCTCTCTACTTTCCTTGGGTGTTAGTCTCATATTATGTTATTTTATACTCCACAAATGAGTGCAGTTATTCTATGTCTGCCCCTATCTTCTGACTCATTTCACTTAGCATGATACTTTCCATGTCCATCCACATGGAAGCAAAAGACTTCATCTTTCCTAACAGCTGCATAGTATTCCATTGTGTAGATGTACCAAATTTCTTTACCCAGTCATTTGTTCTTGGACATTTGGGTTGTTTCCAGATTCTGGCTATTGTGAACAGTGCTGCAATGAACATGTGCAGATGTCATTTCTACTTTTTGCACCCTTGGGATATATTCCCAGAAGTGTTTTGCGGGGTCATATGGAAGCTCAATTTCTAGTTTTTTAAGGCATGCCCA